AAGGTGACACCGGGGCTGGGGCTGCATTTGCTGCTGTAATTAGCAGAGCTAATTGCCTCTGACAGGCTGGGCGTGGGCTAAACTCCAGGCGGGCGAACTCCTGGTTGGCGGCAGAAAACCCACCCTCCTCCCTGCCAAGTGCTGCCTGCACTGAGACAGACAAGCTCACCATCTCAGACCCAAGTGGACATTAGAACCCTCTGGAAGTTTTGCAGAAACACAGGGCCTGCCCCCCCCCCCCCCCGGAATCTCTGGTCAGCTGGGTGGTGGGGACTGCATGTGAGCTGGGCGTTTGGGTGCCCCCAGGATCTTTGGGGACATGGTGACCACGAGCCTCTAAGAGGGGGTCTCCCATGCCCCTCAGACTCAGTCAGCCAACCCTGGGCAGGGACGGGAGAAGATGAGCAGAAAGCGTGTTGAGGGTCTTGAGCTGCGTCCAGCCCCCACTGTGTCTGCCCCAGCACCTCGGTCACCCTGCAAGTCTCTGTGGAAGGACAGTGTGCAGGGGGAGGCTGGCCGAGCGGGCCTGAGTCGCTGCTTGTGTGTCCGGCGCTGTGGCTTAGGAGCAGCCTGCCCTGCTCGAGGCCAGAGAGGTGTGGAGCCGGCGGGCAGCTCCGAAGGTTCAGGACACAGTGACCCGAGCCGAGGGGAGGAAGGAGAAACCTTCACAGGGAGTCTGCGCCTACTCTCAGGGCACACAGGGCCGCCTTGTGCCCCCAGTTCCTGCTGCCCGGTGAGCCTGGCCTTCTGCCAGGCTAAATTTAGCCACAACCTGCGTGGCCACCACACGAGGTGGGTGGGTGGAGGAGAGGAACTCAGCAGGTTTCCTGCCGACTTCCTGGCATGCAGACAGACGAAAGCCCTTCGTGTGACCCAGCTCCGTTTCCTTTGGGTGTGTGTTTTGGGGAGAGGGCTCCAGGTGCCTGATGATTCCACACTCAGGCATGGTGATGTGGTTCTAGAGGGCCCCTGAGAGATCAGGGGTCGAACTCAGGGCCTCCTGGCTGCCAGACAGGTGCTCCAGCCCATTGAGCCATCTCCCCAGCCCACTCAAAGCCGGAGCCACCCGCTAGAGAGCTCAGACCACATGCAGGCGGGCAGTCACCTGGGAAAGCGTCAGGCAGGGCTGCAGTCGAGGCCCTGGGCTTCCCCCTGGGGAGGGGTGCATGCGAGAGGTACATGTGAGGGGTGCATGAGAGTGAGTGTCTGATCGCTGTCACCCTCCCTTCATCCTTATATCTGTACCTGGGGCGGGGAGCGTGGCCTGTGATTGGAGAAAAAGCAGAGACTTTGAACTGGGTCCCACTGAATGGGAGTCGAGCCCCCAAGCCCTTGGGTTAGCCCAGTCTGTGCCGAGGGTGACGGCAGCACAGTGACAGTTTGGAGCTCAGCTGAGGGAGGTGCAGCATGACTCCAGGGAGCCCTGGCACCCCAGGGCTGTGCCAGGTGTGGTCAGTGATGGCAACCGTCGGAACTCAGGAGCGTTTTGTGCTTACCCGGCACTTTGCAGCCTGCGCTTTCTCCTACTGCCCAGGGCCCTGGGCGGGCTGCCATGCTGGGCAGGGGAGGAAACAGGTCCTTGGAGATACAGGAAGGACCTGGTACCACGGGGTACCAGGTGCTGGACGTTGCTAGCCCCGCCGTCTCCCCGGGAAAGCCCTGGAACTCTCAAGAGGCCACGGGCTGCCTTTGCCCTCAGCAAGACACCGATTCCAGGCACACACCAGCCGGTCACTGTCTGCTTCCTCGAGTTCCTCCCCTGTTCATGTGTAACACCCTGTGGGTACTGCTGGGATGCCCACCTCTCGCCAGCACCTTGGAGGGGCATCTGCCCCCTACCACCACCACCACCGTTTAGACACAGGAGCAGGCTCTGCAGACTTCGGCAGAAACCTCGCTCAGGGAACATGCAGTTCGCCAAGGATGTTTGAGGTATCACCAGCTTCTGGCTTGACCAACGTAGACACAGCTCTGCCCATTTTGCAAATAGAGACACTGAGGTTCAGAGAGACTGTGGTAGCTCCATGGTCGTATCTCTGTAGAAGCACACGCTGGTCCATCAGCTCCACATCCTTAGAGGCGACCGCTCCAAGGTTGGGAGACTGGGACTGTCCCTGTGCTGGACAGGGCAGCCTTCTGGCCCTGGCCCCTCCGCAGACCCGAGGTTGCTGGGGAGGGGGAAGAGGACTTCCAGGCTTTACAGCTTAGGGGCTGACATCACCCCCACCAGGGCAAATCCTATCCCGGTTGGCCTAGAAACCCACCTCTGGGCTGGGAGTTGCCAAGGATTATTACTGACTTGTCGGGGCCTGCCCGAAGGTGGCTGCCTGCCGAACAAGAGCCCGAAAGACTTCAGAAGCCCAAATACTCTTCAAACCGGGTGCTCCAGCCGAGTTAATACAGCGCCTTTATCTTTAACGCCCAGCCAGCCAGAGTCACCTGGGCCATCGGGGCCAAATTTTCTATGGATGTTTTTCTAATGTAGAAACCAGGGCTCACCTGTTTCTGCCATTAGCCACTAGCTGCTCCCAGACATTTGCCTCCCCCGCTGACTCCAGCCAAGCCCAACTTCCTCCACTTTCTCCTGTCCTCCGTTTCCCCCTCGGGTGAAAGTGCTCAGAGCTCACCTCGCTGGCCTGAACATTCCGCCCCAGCACACCCAATCCTGCTGCTGGCTCCCTGAGGACAGCGCCCTTCAGGTGAAGGGAACTTCCTGCTGGTTGGCTGGCTGTCCCCGCAGAGGAGCCCTTGCCCGGTGACAGACAGTTCTTGGCCTTGGCGCTGCTGTAAGAACCAGAACAGGTGGTTTTCAGGATGCAAATCCAGGTCAGCACTTCGGGTGCAGACCCACCCCAGAAGCTCCCATGGGGGCGTGGCCCGCCCTGCAAGTCTTGTTTGTCCGGCTGAGTGTCCTGCTGGCCGGAAGGAGACAGACAGGGGCCCAATGAGTGATCATTCCCAAGGCTCCTGGCAGGGCACGGGGTGGAGGAAGGTCACATTGCCTCTCTCTCCAGAGCCTCCCTGATTCCCATCTGGGGGTCACTGCAGTACAGATTGGGGGTGATGAGTAAGGGCTAAGCCAAGACACTGCATTTCCTTGGGAGAGTCTGTACAGTTTGAAGAGCAAGAGTTGTATGTTAGACTCGCCTTTTAAATTTTTTTTTTTTGCATTTGAAGTCACATCCAGTGATGCTTAGGGGTTACTTCTGGCTCTGCACCCAGGAATTACTCCTGGTGGTGTTTAGGGGACCATAGGGGATGCCGGGAATTGAACCCTGGTCAGCCCCATGCAAGGCAAACGCCCTCCCCACTGTACTATTGCTCCAGCCCCAACCTTTTCCTTGAAGTCACTGATGGCCTGAACATTCATTCATCATGGAGGAACCCCACATCACCTTTTCCAGCAAAGAGGTTGGCTTTGGAGTCCAGAGGCTTGGCCGGGAGAGGGCCTAGCAGGCCGGAGTCCTCGCTTTGCTTGCGGGATCTGTTCTCTCACACCGCATGGATACGATCCCCCCAGCACTGAGCTGGGAGTGCCCCAAGCACTTACAGATGTGACCTCTAAAATCCAAAAACAAATAAATGAATGAAGGAATAAAGAAAATTCAGATGCCTGGAGAGGTAAAGCACTCACAGTCAAGCTGATTGTCCACAGGAGTGTCTGGGGCCCAGGAAAGAGGAGATGGAAAGAGATCGGAGTTAAGGTTTAGGGTGGGGTTTTCTAGATCAGGAGAGGTTTACAGGAGCGCAAAACTTCACAAAGGGGTGTGCTACATGATTTCTTACTTGGCACACAGTGTCGTGCTGTGACATTTCTCTGTGTGGGTAGGAAGTAGGAGCTCAGGACTCAGAGAGATGAGCTAACAGGCCCATGGTCACACAGCTGCTCTAGACAGATGTGGCTTTGGAGCTCAGCCCTCATATCCTTAACCATTAGCTTTTGCTGCATTGAGGAAAGATACATTCACCAGAAAACATCTGTGCCTGCTGGGGCTGGGGGTTAACAGGGTGATAGGTATGTGGGGAGATGGGAAGGGGACCAAGGGATGTCTTATTCAGAACTGTTCTGACTTCAGAGATTTAAAAAAAAGGGTGAGAGAGAGAGAGAGAGAGAGAGATTACAATGGTTAGGATGTTTGCCTTGCACGTGGCCAACCTGGGTTCGATCCTGAGCACTACTAGAAGTGATTCCTGAGCACAGAGCTGGGAGTAACCCCTGAACACCAGCGGGTATAGCCCAAAAAAACAAAAAGAAAAGAAAAACAGTTCAAATTGACCTCATTTGTATGACTGAATCAGAGGTAACGGCTTCAAGCATGACTGGATCCAGAGGACCTGCTTTCTTCCATGGTGGCCGCTCCCACCACCCCCCCTCGCCCCCAGACTCCACCCTGCAGTCTTTGAGGTAGCAAGACAGCCACCTGTGCAGGTGTAATCCTGTTCCCAAGGCGACCTAATGTCCCAGTGTGTATCACATCCTTATTGGCCAGATTAATCCCTCCTCTCTTTCTCTCTGATTGGCCCTACTGGAGTTATGGGCTCATCTGTGAGCCAGTCACTATGCAGAACATCGCCTTGGCTGATTGTCTTGGGCGAGGACTTTAGGCACAATCCTGGAGCTGGGGTGTGATCCTCACCGAGACCACCAGGACAGAGAGTCAAGAAGGGTGTGAGCCTGGGGAAAGTGAGGTGCTACTTTGGGAAGGAAGGATTCTGACAGACGGAATCCAGGGTCTGCCACATGGTTATGTGGCCAGGATCGTGGCACTTGGTCTTGCAAGGCCAGACTGAAGCCTGGGATGAGATTTGCAGGGTGTGTGTGTGTGTGTGTGTGTGTGTGTGTGTGTGTGTGTGTGTGTGTTGTGGGAAGAGGGAAACTACCAGACATTTACCTATATGGCAGCACTGAGGTGTGGGGGCGGGATGAGGGTCCAGGGAAAGGGTGATGCAGAAGGAAATTTGGTGACCACCTCCCCCCTCTCTCTCCAGCCCCAGGAACACTCCAACCATGGCCCTGGGACTGTTCCGGGTGTGTCTGGTGGTGGTGACAGCCGTCATCAACCACCCTCTGCTGTTCCCGCGGGAGAACACCACGGTGCCAGAGAACGAGGAGGAGATCATCCGCAAGATGCAGGCGCACCAGGAGAGGCTGCAGCTGGAGCGGCTGCGCCTGGAGGAGGAGGTGGCGCAGCTGGCGGCGGAGGAGGCCCCCGAGCAGCGGGGCGCGGAGGAGAGCCAGCAGCAGCAACACGACACCCGCACGGCCTGGGACCTCTGGAGCACCCTGTGCATGATCCTCTTCCTGATGATCGAGGTGTGGCGGCAGGACCACCACCAGGACGAGCCGTCCCCGGAGTGCCTGGCTGCGGACGAAGACGAGCTGCCCGGCCAGGAGGGGGCGCCCCTGCCCGGCCTCACGCTGCCCAGCAAAAGCACCCTGGGCCACTTCTACGAGCGCTGCATCCGGGGCGCCACGGCCGACGCCGCCCGTACCCGGGAGTTCGTGGAAGGCTTCGTGGACGACTTGCTGGAAGCGCTGAGGAGCCTGTGCAACCGGGACGCGGACATGGAGGTGGAGGACTTCATCGGCGTGGACAGCATGTATGAGAACTGGCAGGTGGACAAGCCGCTGCTGTGCCAGCTCCTCGTGCCCTTCACGCCCCCGGAGCCTTACCACTTCCACCCCGAGCTCTGGTGCTCCCGCCGCTCGCAGCCCCTGGACCGCCAGGGCTACGGCCGCATCCAGGTGGCGCGGGCCGACGAGGATGCGCTGGGCTGTGTGTGCGGCAAGACCAAGCTGGGCGAGGACATGCTGTGTCTCCTGCACAGCAAGCCCCGCGGGGAGGCGGCGGGCGAGCTGCTGTGCGCCCCGGACTCGCCCTACCTGGACGCGCTGCTGGTCATGAAGTGGTTCCAGACGGCCCTCACCAGGGCCTGGCACCGCATCGCCCACAAATACGACTTCGACCTGGCCTTTGGCCAGCTGGACACCCCCGGCTCCCTGAAGATCAAGTTCCGCTCCGGCAAGTGCATGCCCTTTAACCTGATCCCCGCCGTCCAGTGCGAGGACTCAGACCTGTACTTTGTCTCCCACCTGGCCAGGGAGCCGCCGTTGGCGTCCGGCACTGACTGGCTCCTGTCCTTCGCCGTGTACGAGCGCCGGTTCCTCCGGATGACGTCCAAGGCGCTGCCCGAGGGGGCCTGCCACCTCAGCTGCCTGCAGATCGCCTCCTTCCTTCTGTCCAAGCAGAGCCGCCTGACGGGCCCCAGCGCGCTGGGCAGCTTCCACCTGAAGACGGCCCTGCTGCACCTGCTGCTGGCTCGCAGGCCGGCCGACTGGAAGGCAGCGCAACTGGACGTACGTCTGCACGAGCTGCTCCGCTTCCTGGAAAAAAGCCTGCTGGAGAAGAAGCTCCATCACTTCTTCATGGGCAACCGCAAGGTGCCGGCCTCCCTGGGGCTGCCCGAGGCCGTGCGCCAGGCCGAGCCCCTCAACCTCTTCCGGCCCTTCGTGCTGCAGCGCAGCCTCTACCGGAAAACCCTGGACTCCTTCTACGAGATGCTCAAGAATGCCCCGGCTCTCATCAGCGAGTACTCCCTCCACGGCTCTGCAGACCCTGCCGGCCCGCCCCACAAAGCCGGCGTCTTGTGAGCATCCAGTACTCAGGCCAGCACACCTCACCCGGGCCCATGCCCGGAGGACCCTGCAGCGGGCTATGAGCACCACCCAGGGAGCCAGGCCCGGGAGCAGGGAGAGGCGGAATTCCAAGATGGGAGCGGTTCACTTTCCTGCCGTTGGGCCCCGCTGGTGAGGGTGTAGGTCCTTGGTGGCTTCTTCCCATGGAAGGCCAAGATGAGGTTGGAGGGTGCCATGGACACTGAGTTCCAGACCGCCCGAGCACTGGGGAGTGAGTGCTGCTACCCAGGGCAGCCTTCAACTCAACATCAGCAAGGCTGGCGGGAAAGGTCACAGGCACCATGTCCCTCTCTCGGTGACCTCTGCCCTGGGCGTGAATCCCCAAAGCACTGAAAGGGACAGATAGATGTGGGACATGGCCCGTCCCCCAACGCCTGCATGCCAGGGGCCCCACTGTGGAGGAAACGCCACAGTGGAGGCTCGAGGCCCGGGGTGGGGGTGGAGGTAGTGGCCGCCACACACTGAGGGTGCCCATGGCAGGGAGGCGTCAGAGTGGCCACAGTTTTCCTCACTGTTCGCTCAGGGTACGCCCCTTCTCTTGGCCCTTCCCATGCACTGACCAAGTCCAAGCTGGGTACCAGCCCAGGGGCCCCTGCCCTGCTTCCGTCCTGCCACAACTGGTCTCGCTGACCAGAGGAGGGCAGGTGCACACCTGGGAAACAGATCCAGGGGGGTCTGAGACAAAGGACAGAGCCTGGCACCCCGGGGTCCGGGGTAGGCTCTCAGTCTGGCTTCTAAACCCCAATTTTGAGTTGTCGAGTGAAAAGCAGCCCTAGTTCTCTCTCCCTCTGGGGATCCCCCACCCCAGAGCGGGGCTGCCTGAAAAATAGCAGCTGCAGGGAGTCTTGGGCACAGCACAGAGCCCCCATTTCAGCCGGCCACACAGGTGACCCAGAGCCCAAGAGCCTGACGAAGCAGGCATAGCCCCCGGCCCTCCAAGGGGACACCTCGCCTCCGTCTCCAGGCTCGATGGTTGGCCGGGAAGCTGCTCATCCAGTGACATCCTCGTCGGCCCTTGTAGGACTCCTCTAGGCCTTGCCTCGGGACCCCCTTGAAGAGGGCAACAGTTGCCAGGACCCCCTTGCAGAGAGCAACAGTTGCGGCTGGCTGTAACGACCCAGCAGATACTTCCACAGGGCATCAGGCTTCCTGGACACCCAAGGAGGAGCGTGTGTCTCCCCCAGGAGCGCCCTCTCCTGACGGGAGAATCCTGAGAGCACAGAAGGGTTTCCTCACAGAGTTCCCAGCACATCTCTGGGCTGTGAAGAGCCTGGGGCTCCAGGAAGACTTCCTGTATAAGCTCCTTGAGGGAGCAGCCAGGAGTCTGCTCAGAGCGCCCACAGAAGCTGCCTGTCCTGGCAGGAACACCGGGAGCCCCCTCCCCCTTTCTGTATTCCCCTTGAGTAGGGAGTGAATTTCCTTATTTATTGTTACCTGTATCTTCCTGGCCTGTCTTCACCCCCTTCTCACTGTGCTCTGAGGAGCCCCCAGCAGCTGAAAAGAACCAGCCCTCAGAAGGCCAGACCAAGCCTGAACCTCCCAGCGCCTCCAGGAGTTCAGGGGAAATGTGCCTGCTGGACTCTTATTTTCCCAGAGACACCAACTCAGCTGAGATGGGACTTATCCCTGAACCCAGGGTCCTGCTGGGCCCCTGGGGCTTCATGCTGCCTTATTTATATGAAAGGAGGGAGTAAAGTCTTGAGAGAAGCTGGTTGTGGCAGTGGTTTTTGCTTCAGGAAATCTGGGAGGTTCCCAGGGCTGGGTGAGAGAGAGAGGAGAGAGAGAAAGACTCTGTGTGTGTGTGTGTGTGTGTGTGTGTGTGTGTGTGTGTGTGTGTGTGTGTGTGGTGGGTGGGGGTGGTCCCTATTGACAGACGGAAGCTTTCACTCCCTTTTTGTTCTGCTGCTTTCAGGAAACGTAAAAATAGCAAATTAGAGCATTTCTTGCCCATCCTTGAGGCAGCCTGCAAAGTTCCAGAAAGGGGCCATTGGAAACCAGCCGGAGGGTGGATTCTAGCAAACGGGAAGGCCTTATCTTCTGAGTTGGATGCATCAAGAAATGCTGGAGCATTGGGTTTTGCAGGAAAGAGAAAGTGCTCTTCTCCTTCAGAGCCCCAGGCCTTGCCACTAAAGTTAGCTCTGCCTTCCTTCTAGAAATTTCTCTCCTAAGGATACCTGACTTTTCCTAAGCATACTTGATTTTTCCAAGTATCTGTTTCCTTGTTCCACAGGCCCAGTGGGGAGGACTACCTCCTGGCCAAGCAGAGTTAAGTTGGGGAGTATCTGGCATCTTCAAAAGCCCCAGCACTTCACTTTGCTGAACTCAGAACCAGTGTATTGGTTCCTAATCAAGAGCCTGTGAACCACTGGAATCACCTGTAGACCTTGGGCAAATGCCCAGATCTACCTTCCCCCCCCCCCCCTCTACCCATTAGCTGTGCTAGATTTTTTCAGAACCATCAGGAATGCAGTAGAGCTGGATTTTCAGTCACTCAGTATTAACCATAAGCAACAGGTTAAAATACACAAATAGTTCAAATGTGCCTGTAATTGGTTAGGGTATTTTAGTTTTCCTTTAAGAAAAGACGAGATCTAGGGGTGTTAGGTATGTGGCTTGTGGGGGGGCGCTTCCGCCCTGCAGGATGAGACTGGGGATCCAGCCCCAATCCCACACGCCTCCCCTGTCAGCCTGACCCTGCCTCCAACCTAACACATCCAGGTAAAGCTCAAGCTTCCCCGAGTGACAAGTGACTGTTGACACCTCTCTCTGAGCAGGGTTTTTCCTTTCCTTTCTCTGCAGAGCTCTTGGGTCATTGAGTCTGTTCTGCCCAGGCTTCCCATGCTGGTGGCCATACTCTCTTAAGACGCCAAGAGCTCTGAGAGTTAAAGTTCACTTCTGCTTTGCTCTTCCCCTCCCCTCTCTTTCCTCTCCTCTCCTCTCCCCTCCCCTCTCCATCCTCCCTCCCCTCCTCTCCCCTGCAGTCTCTTCTCTCCCCTCCTCTCCCATTTTCTCCCCTTCCTTTCTTTTTTCTTTCCTTTCCTTTCTCTTGTTTCCTTCCTTCCCTCCCTCTCCCCTTTTTCTTTTTCTTTCTTCTTCCTTTCTTTCTCTTTTTTTCTTTCTCTTTCTTCTTTCTCTGTCTCCTCTTTCTTTCTTTCTCTTTCTTTCTTTCTTTCTTTCTTTCTGTCTTTCTTTCTTTCTCTCTTTCTTACCCACCACACCTGATATGCTCAGGAACTTCTCCTGGCTCTGTGTGGGTTTGGGGGTGGTGAGGGGAGGGTGGCACTCCTGCTAGTGTGCTCAGGGGGCAATACACGGTGCTGTGGATTGAACTGTGGTCTGCCGCATACAAGGCAGTGCCTTAACCCCTTATCTGTCCAGACAGATAAACGCCCTTTCTAGCAGGTCTATAACTACTCACTCAGTGTCTTCCTGGGGCCTCCCACACACCCCCTTCTGTTCACCTATGCAAAGTGCAACAGGAAAGATAGAAGTGTGCCTCAGGGGTTTAACCAGTTTGTCAGGACCTTTTCTCCAAGTGTAGTTGGCACTGTCCATCCAGGCATCACCTGAGCACTGGTTTCCAGCCTGGCCACGAGACTTCAACAATTTTCAGGAGTGGATACTGGAATCTGCATTTGCCAAGTTCCCAGCAGGTGCTGAAAGTCCACCGATAATTGGGTGATCAAGGATTCTGAGAGATAGGACTCTCTGGAGCAGGAAACACATTGTTGTACTCAACACATTGAGTCCCGGTGAGGGTGGGAGAGCGCCACAGAAGCAGGCAGCATGTAAGGGCAGCTGCTATGTGCCGGGCGCCTTCCAGCACCTTTCCAAGCATTCACTCAATTCCCATGTGGATCCAAGCGTGTGAGTGCTATTATCTTCTCCCTCATCTATGAGAGGAAACAGACTCATCCAAGGTCTTTGCTAGTTCCCTGTATCCGACCTCTTAGTCGGACTTGGAGCCTTGCCTGTGGCTAGCCCCACTCAACATTTCCAACTTCATATGTTCTTGGTTTAGATTAGCACACAGACCAGCCCTGCCTGGTTCAAAGCTCTAAGCCTTGAAGCATTGGGTCACCCTGAACTTCTACTAGTGGCCAAGGGTGGGCCATTGGCAATTCGGGTGCAAGTGAGTAACTTCATTTGCCCTGGTGCTCTGAAGTCCTCCACTCTGACTGACTCTGTGTTGGGAGCTGTGAGGTGAAGTCTGGTGCCCAAAGCAGGGTTGGTGGCATCTGTGGCAGTGGTCAGTGATGTCCTAACTCCAACCCTTCCAAAGGCTGGGATTCAGAACATTCTCAGGCTCGGTGGCCTCTGCCTCATGGGACAGAGCTAGGAGAGTGTTTGGCTTGGCCAGCTGTCCCTGAGCAGAGCCAAGATGCACACACAGAAGGAAATCTGTGTCTCCAACCCACTGCGGAAACTCCCTACCCCCTCCTCAGTCCTGCCCTCACTGCCCGGGCCAGGCTTCTTTCAGAGTTCACTTTTCTCACTGCCATCCAAAGATAGTTTGTTTTTATAAATATTTTTAAAATATAAACAATATAGTCATGATAAAGTTCCAACATAAACATAGACATTCCCATTTTCCCTTTAATATTCCTTTAGAGACCCCTCCCCTCCAAAAAAGTTATTTGGGGGGGCAGAGCAATAGTACAGTACATAGGGCATTTGCCTTGGACACGGCTGACCCAGGTATGATCTCTGGCACCCCACATGATCCCCCAAGCCCAAGAGAAGTGATTATTTTTTAAATTTTTTTAAAATTTGGGGTCACACCTGGTGATGCACAGAGGTTAGTCCTGGCTCAGCACTCAGAAATTACTCCTGGCAGTGCTCAGGGAACCATACGGGATGCTGGGAATCAAAACCAGGTCGGCCGTGTGCAAGGCAAATACCCTACTCGCTGTGCTATCGCTCCAGCCCCCCAGGAGTTATTCTTGAGCAGAGGCAGGAGTAAACCTTGAGCACTGCCAGGTGTGACCCCCCCAAAAATCCCTCAAAATGTTTTAATCAGAAAATAAAATTGTTAACAATTGTCTCCCAGAAAAATGGAACCAAAGATATGCAAAGGTATTTCTCTTTTACTGATGGGAAAAAGCATCTTAAAAGTGTAATGCAGGGTCAGAGAGATTGCTTGAGGGGTAGAGCACATACCTCACCTAGATTCCATCTCCAACAATATGTCACCTCCTGAGCACCAAAAACACCACCAGGCCCAAGCAACGCACCCTGGAGCCCAGGCGTCAAACTAGTAGGCTGAGCATCGTTTCAGGGAAGGACCCCAGCATCCCAGTGTCAGAGTGAGCCCTATTTCAAATGATGCTGACTGCAAGGTGCAGGAAGGGTGGGGAGAAGTTGGTTTTATATGTTCCTTTCAAACTCGCAGATGTGAATCCAGAGAGATCTTACAGGGATTAAGGCACTTGCCTTGCATGCAGCTTGCCCAGGTTTGAATTTCCAGCATCACATACGTTCTCGAGAGCTGGCCCAGGACTGATCTCAGGCTCAGAGTCAGGAGGAAGTTCTGAGCACTGCTGGGTGTGGTCCCAAAGTAAAACAAAAGTATCAGTGATTTCATAGGGTTTTTCCTTCATGCACCTTTATTTAAACTAGAAAAAGACCCACTTCCTGCCACTGTTCACAAGCCCACTTGACTCCACAGTTTGGCCCCAGGAGACTGGCAGAAGTCCTCTCCACATGCATTTCCTTCTTGTGCCACTGTATTTTTCATCCTTACAAGCACTGCTCACAAGCCCACTTGACTCCACAGTTTGGCCCCAGAAGACTGGCAGAAGTCCTCTCCACATGCATTTCCTTCTTGTGCCACTGTATTTTTCATCCTTACAAGCACGGATACCTCTGAAGCTCCATGCCCAGAACAGGCCAAGTAGGGTGTTCCTGACTCAGAGAGAAAACAGGGAACAAGGCAGGTTGAACTAATCTCTGTCCATTCAATGTGAGCCCCCTCTGTGACAAGCCACACAAAGCCCAGTGAGACCACAGACAGGATCTGAACCTGCACTTCTCTGTTAGTTTAAGAGGCATGGCTATAATCGTGATAACATTAATGGTATCAGCGTACATAATTACTGCACCAACACTAAAGCACCTAAGAGACTCCGCCATTGCCACTATATCACCTTCGTTGATCTTCATCCCCTTACCTGTCCCCCCACTACTTGGTAATCTAAACTTTGTAATCCAAGGCCAAGGCTTTGTCATCATTTTACACTGTCTATTCCCTTCCCTTGTCACAGTTGAATTAGATCATCTAGTATTTGTCCTTCTCTTTGACTTATTTCACTTAACATGATGCCCTCCAGTCTCGAGATGGAGCAAACGGTAAGATTTCCTTTCTCGCAGCTGTATCATATTCCATTGTGTGTCTAGGCCTGTCCTTAACCACTTTTCTTTGCACCAAGAATTTTCATCTGAACTTCGTAAAAGTTAGTTGAGAAAGACCAGCAGGCTGCTCTGAGAATGAAGAGAGTGGAAAACTAACATTGGCAAAGGCACGAGAGCCTGGGGCAAACCAGATGTGAGCAAAACATAGCTTTTCACAAACAAATTATCAATTTGGTTTACAACATTAGAGAAGTTTCAGAAGCTTTAGAAATGCTACATGTACAAACCACACATGAGACCAGCCCAGTTCTAGTGCCAGGACCCTCTATCCTAGTCATACCAATCTCTCCCCAAAATGTT